TACTTTACATAAACTTCTCAAACTAAACTAAATAATAATATTAAAAAAAGAAAAAAAACAATATTTATTCATTTTTGTTTATCCTGCATAGTTTACCTTGACTTTCAGTCAGCCTGGATATATTTATGAGCATTCTTAAATTTTAAAATTTAGAAAAAAATAACTTTTTTTTTTCCTTCTGTTTATAAATACATGTTCCAAAATAAAACTGTTACATTTGCCTTGATAAAGTCCATCAAAGAATGAAACATGTTTACAAAGAAATATTTATATACAAGTTTCATTAAAGATGGCTAACAAGGTACTGCAGTTAAGCTTTTTATTCAATTTTCTTGCATTCGTACAAGTGTTTTCTTTTCTGTATATAAAGCATGTAACTCCATACATCTGAGTGTTTCTGGCTATTCTATTAGCTGTTATCAAAGATTTTTCTTCAACTGAATATGTAGATTTTTTATATATGGGTATCTATAGTGATTGGATTTTAAATTTATTTATTTTCCAAACATGATCAGAATGTGACCATGTTCATAGTTTATATTATTGAGCATTGGCTTTTGGTAATAAAAAAGAAAAATCCAACACTCATTAACATCAACTATGAACATGGCCACAAAATGCTGATCATGTTAGGAAAATAAAAATAAAAAAAATTCCCATCACTATAGATACACATATATAAATCTACAATAAAAGAACATCCTTGATAATAGCTAATAAAATAGCATAAAGTACTTGAATGTAGAATATTTGGACAATTTTTATGCAATTTATATCCAGAAAAGAAAACACTTTTACATATGCAAGAAAATTGAATAAAAAGCTTAATTGCAGTACCTTGTCAGTCGTTTTTAATGAAACATGTATAAAAGAGGGATTGCTATTTAAATAATGGCTGGCTGCTTGTTCTGAGTATGCCTGTCTGCTAGGGTGGCAAGTTAGTCCCTATTGTAGAGGCCTGCTCAGGCACATTTGTTTTTGTTGAACACGCACAGAGCTCATCTGTGGTTTATACAGCAACTATGCTGAGCAGACCTTAGTGATAGTTTCTGGGAGACAACACATTATCTGATGTTATCAACAGTCTAAACAAAGTCAGCAGGCTCAAACCCTTGGTCACAATGACCTGCAAGACAGTTCCCAAATAGTTCTGTCTACCCAACTTCACTCACAACTGTGGCATTCCCAACATGTGGCACCTTTTTCCAAAAGGTGCCACATGTTGGGAATGCCTCTACAGGCCAATAACATTAAGAGATCAATCTTCCTGGCAAATTGAACATGGTGAGTTTTGAACCCGTGTCTAAGCAGCCAGCTTTACAATTAAGCCTGATCAAAGAGCATTGAAAGAGGACTTAAAGATCGACTTTTTTCTTTTCATAGTAATTTCTAATGTCTCATCTTCCTGTTATATTTAGGATAACTTAAAAATCTGTTGTGTGATCAGGAAAATTACTATTTGATAATGTACAAATCAAAAATGTTAAAAATTTTAAACTGCATTTGATATGGTTTAAAAAATCTATCTTTTGTGAAATAATATTTGTAAAGTAGCATAATGTGATAGATATTTAAATAAATTTAGCTACCATTCTAGATCTTGTTAAAGTTATTAGATTGTTCTTGATCTTGTTAAAGTTATTAGAATGCAAGATTTACCAAAAGCTGTTTAGACTCCAATATGGCTGACATTGTCATAGAATTCCCAATGAAAAAAGAGTGTATGAAAAAAAAAAAATTTAGAAAAATATAAAATCCAAAATTTTTTTATATATTTGTATCGACATAATATTGCTTCTTTTCTTATCTTTTGTTTACATGTTGTATTTTTCTTTTCTTAAATCGGGAATAAAAAATATGCATCAAATAAGAAAAAGAAAAAAAAAGCCAAAAAAATGAAACACTGACAAAAAAGAAAAAAGCTTTAATAGAACCACAAATTTTTCCATATTTTTTTTGTATTATATATAATTGTTTTTTTTTTTACATTGCTACAAAATAGCATTTAACAAGCAAAGATGAATAACATGCATTTTTTTATGAAATTACTTGTCTTTTTCCATGTTTTTGTTTTTTTTTTTGTTTTGTTTTGTTTCTCATTTTTTTTTCTTTTTTCTATTAGTCAAAGGTGGAGGGTGGATTTGTGAAAGTGGGTGGGGGTAAAGGACAGTTTTTTTTTTTTTATCTTTTTTTTTTTTCAAGTATATTTTTTTTTATAAAAAAAAGTGACAAGGAAACAAAAAAGGTAGTGTGGGTGGTTGTTTAAAAGAAAAGTAACAAACAAACAACAAAACAAAAACATTGCATTTGGAATTTTCTTTTCCTTTTTTTTTCTTCATTTGGACACGAAAGGGCAGACATCAGACAGAAGCAGTTTTTCTGACACATGCATAACACTCCAATATTAAATGCAGGTTACTGGGCATAACTGCAAGGGAAGGTAGATTAGAAAAGAAGGGCCATGTTCTATTTACTTTTTTTTTTTTTGTTGTTTTTGTCTGGCAGAGTGGTATTATTATCATCATGATAATATTAATTATAATAATCAGAATTGTAGATTTAAAACATTTTAAACCACCATAATTTTATGCCTTATTTTAAAAAAAAAAAAAAACAGCATTTAAATTTTGATTTAACATGGATCTATCAAAAACGCTAAACAAGGTAGCAGATTCAAAGAACTTATCAGCTTTATAATGTAATTTAATATTTCCCCAAAGAAAAAGAAATATCAAAAACCACCTTATCTGTGTTTTGACAGACAAAAGCATAAAACCCCCACGCTTGCAATCGACATAGCAACAGACTTTAAGAAATGAAATCATTGAAATTAAAAAATAAAATAAAAATTGATCTGAACAGGATCATGTGACCAAACAATCCTACTCTATGTTTAAACAGACTTTCTCTCTATGGTAGAGATAACAAAAATAGTTTTAACTCAGACCAAAGTTACCTTTTAGTTTAATGCTTTTTCAAAAGACTAATTTTGTAATAAATTATTAGACATATTTTATGATAGATGGCTTAAAAGGGGAAGAAAAAAAAAAAAAAAAAAAAAACAGACCAAAACTTATGCGTTTTAAAATTTTGCCAACATCAGCGGAGACATCACATAACGACAATGCAAATAAAAATGTGCATAACAGATGCCACAAGTGATCATCATACCTCCCTGCTTCCTGCAATCTTAACAGTAGCCGCAGCAGTGGTGCATCTGTTTGTATGTCTGTATAGGTATGCGCAAGAAAGATAGTGGGGGGGAGGTCAAAGTTATGTGGAGGGGGGGGGATTAAAATGCCTATCAGCCAACCAAGCAATGACATCAATGTTAATTTGGAATTGTGTATGTGTGTAAGAGAATATTGCTTTGTTATTTCTTTTGTCCTATAAAGTGTTTGCTTGCATGTGGGGGTGAATTTTTTTGTGGGGGGGGGGGAATTGTCAAACTGTATGTATACACATACACACACTTATAATCAACAGCAGAAACTGATAGCAGCAGGAATTTACAGACACACATTCTAGAGGATATATATATATATATATATATATATATACACACACACACACACACACTGTACTTCATCCTAAAGATGGAAACATAACATTTCAATCGGCAAATCCCTATTTCTTTGTCATGTGAAATTCAGCCAAACACACAACTATCAGCAATCAGCAGACACATCAAATCTAATCTGACCTAGAAGTCATGAGATATCCAAAAACATCAACACACCACTAAAAACTAAATTGATCAATTTCAGAGATTACCAGACACATCAACAGACCCTCACAGATAATCCAAGGACATCCAATTAATCCCATTCTTCTGATAATTATGCACTGACTTCATTTCTTGATAGGTAATACTTCCTATGATTAAAAAAAATGTAACAGAATGTTTAACTATTCTGAAGCATGCATATATGTATAAATAATGTCATAACTGTTCTTTACAATATATTGGGGAAAAGAAATTTAAAAAAATGTATCTATGAACACAAAAAGGATCTAATGCACAATAACTTATCAAATGCCGACAGAGAAAGAAGTTCAACCACAACTTCAGTCTAAAGAATGCAACACTTATTAATCATATGCACCTCAGATGTTACAAGATTAACTTCCAATAGATTTATCAGAAATGTGTAAAATAAATAAGTCATAAATAAAATAAATAAAAAGGGTTATCAATTTCACATTTTGAAAGATTTTTTTCTATCAATAAAAAACAAGAGTCATTAAGATTTAAAAAAAATTGCACAATTTGTTTTTAAAGATGAAAACAGACCAAAAATTGCCTTTCAAATAACCGCATTTTAATTAAAAAAATTTACAGAAACACTTTTTAAATAAAATGACTTCTTGTTTCCACAATGTTTTGGACAGTCTATTCATATAGGTAATCAACGTAATGAAGGCCATAGAATAGACCAAACAAAATGTTGGAGAAATCACATAGTTCAAGGGTCCAAAAATCTCTGAATGAAAATGTTTTGGTTAATTGAAATGCTATTTTAAACAATTTCAATAAAAAAAGAAAAAGGGAAAACAAATAACAGGCATTAATTTCTTTTCATGTTCATGTACACCAGTTGAACTTGAGGAAGTTACATGCAGAAAATCAAAGACTTGCCAACAGAAATGTTATAGAGATTAACATCCCCTTTAGAAGAAAATACAGTTTGAATAATTTACTTACCCCAATACAAACTCATTCTTTCTCTCACATATACATACACACACACGATTATATATATATATATATATATATATATATATATATATATATATAGTGTGTGTGTGTATGTATGTACACACTCCTCCCAAGATATATATATATAATATATATATATTACATACAGATGCTTAACACATACATACATGTATGTATGAGAACATACATACAAGCGCACGCATGCATGCCCTTTGTGGTTTATAGCCTCGTGTGTTTACGTCAGATGGAGACCCTGAGGTGGTGAGAAACAACACCCATCCTACTTGTCTCCTGCCATCAATTCAGTGACACTGTTTCCGCCTGCCCCAGACTTCTTCTTGGCCTTTGCTGGAGATGTTGACTGGAACACGCTACTGGCCGCCATCAGGTTTTCAATGTACTGGCCTAGAACTTGGTTCTCCGATTTTAGCTTCAAGTTTTCTTCCTTCACCGAATCCACACGGGATGACAGATCATCTAAGGTGTTCTGCAGCTCAAGCACCTGTGAGATCAAGCGGTGTTTTTCTTCCTCTTCGTCTGGGTTCATATCTGGGTCCAAACTGAGAGTGCTGTAGGGCGGTGGAGAGAAAAAAAGAAAAAAAATAAACATTTTAAAAAAAAAAAATCAATATCAAGAAAAAAGAAAGAAAAAAAAAAAAAAATCATTTATATTTTTTTTTTTTTTTTTTAGCCAATCAAGTTTTTACTTCTGATAAAGCAAAAAAGATTGGACATTTGCATTTCACTTCTTAATTGCTGTTATTCTCAGGTCCACTCTGACCTGATGTGGTAGCACCTGTTCAGGCCCCAGCAATAGGAAAATATTGAAATCCCCAAACAAAAACAAAACACTATGAAAGTATAAAAATAATTTTTATATGAAAAAAAAAAAAAAATGACCAACAATACATATTATATTGCAAAGTGACCAACAATACATTTTCTCTGTAGTTGAAGGCATACAAATGCATTCAAAATATTTAGATTTCAGCATTAAATGACCCATAGAGGTGTTGATATGCTGCTAAACAAAATCAACTTTTGCATTTCGTTTTTCAGGAGTAATTGTTAATATATAAACATAACAAGGTTCTCTTTCAGCCTTTTAACAACCCTAACATTGCATGTCTATTTTCATTCATATCAGTGTGTACAAAAATTGGGAAGGGTCTGTTTCAAGTTCACATGTGTTATAGTGGAACACACCTATTCTATAGTTAATAGACTCTCCCACCTATAATAAGTAGGAGTAGTAAGAGTAACAAGTCAGTCGGCAGTGAGTTGGTCAGTCAGTCGATGTTGGACGACCGTTAGTCGGATATTAAAGTAACAGTGACCACAACTAGATTACTGCGTCATTACCTATTATATCAAGTTCCTAACGTTTTGTACATCAAACCTATTTTAGGACCGACTTAGTAAAAATACAAGTCTCCACTGTGAAACCACTACATAACATGGAAATGAAAAGTGATGATAAAAGCCATGGCAAAATATGAAGACTCAAAAATTGTTAATAGATTTCCTTGTTTATTCCTGGTTTCATTTACATGGTCACATGGGACGCCTTTTGCAACTTGAACTAAGATCAGCTTTTCCTTCAACTAGCAAGAACTGACTCAACCGATTTCTGCCCATCTCAACGACATGCAGTTAGCAACACTAATGTGTGATATCGGAGCAACATTGATGGACAGTCAATCTAGATTCACTAGCAGGCACTACTTCACTCCTAATTGTGGCAGTTAATAAAAGCCTGGGACTGGAAGTCTTCAACATCCAGTTTGCTATCACTTGTTCCCAAAAGTTTTCATTTATTATTATTATTATTATTATTATTATTATATTCCTTTTTGACCAAGTAGGTGGCTGCTTTTGAAGCCCCTATGTTACAGACTTTATCACTGGTCACAAAACAGGAAACACTTAAGACAGAACAAGGTGGCATGTGATTTTATCTACGTGGCTGTCCCAATCATAGTGCAACAAATATATTTTAATTTAGAGCTTCATGTTGTGTTTCACATAATGACATAGTGGCTATAATTGGTTAAATATATGTTACTTGTCATCTAGTGATCAATCCTTGGATCATGTAGTGAAACAATATACAACAAGAGCTTGCATCACAGGCACAAAATGGCAATCTTCAAGAGAGATCTCAATACCAGCCAAAACAATAGACACCTGAAGGTTACTTGACTAGAGATTACATGACTGAAACACTGTTTCTATGACACCATCATAATAAAAATGAGAGCAATAATTGAAATAAAATGATAGGCTATTCAGAAAATGATAACCAATGGTTTTCTGTTAATGTTAATATTTTAACCATGTGCTCAACTGTAAATTTGTTTTGTCACATTAAATGATTTTTATTCTTGGGATGATTCCATATACAGACTCATTATGGAGTACTGAGTTGCAACCCAACCTCACTGATGGAGTTTTAGGAGTAAATAAGCTTATTCCTGAAGTAAATATAGTAATATAAGTTTAGTTTTTCCTTCTGCTGTTAGGCATCGTGGGGAGACACAGTCGTCTGTCAGCAGCAAGTCAAGTATCTCATGGGCTCTGAGAGTGTCTGCCACCAAGTTGCTCCAGCATATTCATGGTCTTCCTCTCGCTCTCCAGCCAGAGTACCTGAGGGTGTATGCTCGTAGGACTGGTTGGTTGATAGACATACGAGTGAGGTGTCCAAACCACTTGATCCTCTGTCGTTTGATATGTTGTGTGATTGGTATTGCTCCTACCATATCTCTTATTGCCTCATTCCTGATCTTGTTCACTTCTTTCCTCAGGCATTTCATCTCACAAGTGATCAGTTTCCTCAAGGGTTTTTGTTAGGGGCCATGTCTGGCACTGGTACGTCAACATTTGTAATGATGGCATTGATGAGATTTGCCTTGGTGCTCATGGAAATGCTAGGGTGTTTTAGAAGAGGTGCAAGTTGGTAACTGACTGCATTGGCTTTAAAAGATATAAATTATAAGTAAAGACAAGATAGAGTTGCTAGCCCCATGCCAAAGCCTCTAGTTTTTGGATTCAGAGCTATCCATGCAGTATGTCACTTGCACTGGATAATGCCAGAGTGAGGCTTTGTGTTTAATATTGAACTGAACCATCAAGAAGACAGATGCATTGGCAGGTTGGTCTGAGAGATGACCTTCTAGCCACCAAAAACAGATTCATGCTTCAACCGATGTCAGTGGCTAACCGAACTTGTAAACATGTGACTGACCCAGCTGCACTTAGGATGTGAATGCATGGGAAAAACTGTATGACAGGTAGATGTATAAACACCCACCCTAGAAAAGACAGCCTCATAGATCCTTGCAGGAATGAAGAAGAAAGCCCGTAGTGGTTGACAGTCATTAACGAAGTTAAGAGTTGAATAAAATCTAACGTTACGTAGCAGATTAAGCATTGCGGTTTCATTTGTAATGTATGACAATGTTACCTCCATCTCCTGAACTGGTTAACAACTAAAACTAAAGAATTCAATCTGACTCCTACTATTTAAGCCATAGCTGGAAGGTGATGGATTCATGCTATTCCCAGAGGAAAAAAATGAATGCAGTCAGTCTCAGCAGAATTTTGAACTATGTTCACTGATTTCAGTTTCTATGAGGTCATCCATTAGCCTTCACTCCCAGTGTGCATAAATAAATAATTAAACAATTACCATTACATGAATATAAACTGCTGTAGAATGTCTCAAACTCATCAGGAATATTAAGCAAGTATTGTTTGTGGATCATTTAAAGCCAAAACATATTTCAGATTTTAATAGGTTGCTTACAGTACCTAGTGGCCCTACATCTAAGTACAGAGTGAGCTCAATGCTGCTTAATCGAATGGTGATCGAACGAGAACTGATATCTTCAGCATGATCTAACCACGTGTCCTTACAATACAAACAATAGAGCAAATGAAATCAAACGTTATGAGAGGATGCCCATTGGTTGTTGATCTCCTAATTAGTTGTACAAATATATACTTTTATTTGTGCCATTCAATTTTTCAAAGTAGTTTATAGTTTCGGGGACTCATTGCCTGATCCATGGTGGTCAGATCAGGTGAATGAAGAGGTCCTGATGTTGAAAGATCTGAAACCTTTGATAAACCCAGTCAGAGGACATCACTGAGGATGCATTGAGAAGAGGTATTCATTGAAATTATAAACAATTTTGTGCCAGAAAAACATGCAATGATAAATCAATGGGTTTGTAGCCTGACTGTTATGAACTGCATTTGGATCTTGAATTTTCATTGTATAATGTTTAGTCTCAGGGATTAATATCATTCACTAAATTAAATGAATTGACAAGGAAGGAGATTTTTTCTATTCACCATTATGCTACAGATTTACTGATGTAAGTACATTTTTATTACTCCGAACATTATTTTTAGTGGATACCCTTATCTCTATCTATAAAAGGCAGGATGTGTGTGTGTGTGTGTGTGTAACGAATGCATGGCCGCAATTTTTGACAGATTTGCACCAAAATTTACATGCACATGCTCCAAATTAGCAGGAAGGCCAAGACCGACTTTGCATTTCCCAACTCCCACTGATAGTGGAAATAATCGATTTTTTCATGCTTCTACGGCAGTTTTCATGTAGTTTGCGGCCATTTTCTACTGGCCAGAGTGAGAGCCTATAACTGGCTGCCACAAATAGGCAGGAAGATTCTACTGGTCAGCGTGAGAGCCAACAGCTGACTGACATGAATGTTAACTAGCATGCTAGGATAAAAAAAAAAAAAAAAAAAAAAAAAAAAAATCGATAGCTGCATTAAATCACAAGTGGGGAAAAATTTAAATCTGCATGGCACTTTACTCCAATTGGCTCATTCGCTTGCTTAAACTCAACGTTGATTCTGATTCCGAGAACTGGGTTGGGTGTGAAAAAGTATTTGTTGTTAACATTCTTTTTCATTCGGTTTTTCCAATTACTTAGTCCTTTTTAAAGCTGATCGTTTTGTGTTCTTTTGTTTAGTTCTTTTTTCGTAACAGATTTAATGTTTAGTATAGAGCTTAGAAAACATTCGCAGTGCGAGATAGGCAAGAAGTAAGGCATGTAGCAACATCAGCATGGCAAAGGGCACTCCTTTAAAGGCAAGGAAGTGATAGCAATTGCTGTATGAGTCGTACAATTTTTGAATCAAGCACAGGCAACACCGGGCCATGCTGCTAGTTCAGATTTTTCTCAAAAGGCCATATCTGCCAGTTTCATATACGAAACTGTTGTAACCTAGGAAAAGGTTACTGAGTAAGAATAACCAAAACAAAGCTTGGAAATGGAACGATAATATTTATAACAGGAACAACATATACAAGATTTGCCAGCTGCGTGTAGTAAGTAATCAACTGTTAGCAGTGAGCTAGAAGTGAATCAATGCGAATTGCAAACGAAATCCTAAAGTGAATATAAATGACTACCACATACAGTATATTCTATTGTATTTATACGGATTGGGACATGCCTATTATAGTCCATAGGTACGGTATAACAAATGTAAACAAAGCAAATTCTAAAGAATTAATGGATTTATTTTTAATG